CATTATTCACGGAAAAACTCAATATTATGCAATAGGAGTAGATAAAAGTAGATATAATTTATTTATATTAAAATTATCTCTACTTTTATAAAATATTTCTTGCGTTTCCTTTATTTATTGTACAGCCTTATAAAACAAGAATATTTTTGACAATTTTGAAGGCAAAATATAATATGTATAGGTATAAGGGTGGGCCGAAAATAAAAAAAACTAGAAATTGTATTTGGAATAGGGCCAAAAGCCTTTTGACCAAACAAAAATAATTTCTATTTACAGTTTTTTGTTTTTGTGACTCTTTTGCTCCCTACCAGAGTTCAAAAATTTGAAAAAAAAATAAAATGAAAATTTTGAAATTTTGATTTGGAATACCGCCCAATATTAGAAGATTTATAATGCAAAGATAATTTTTATTTTTATATCGTGATAAACCTTTTGCCCCCAACCGTGCATCAAAGTTTAAAAAAAATCAGATTTTTTTAAAATTATACATAAAAACTAGGTATTTTTTATATATTTCAATGGTATTTTTTGTAGTGTATCTTTCAAACGTTTATATTTGGGTAATTCCATTTATTAGCCACCAATTAGTGCACCTCATGGACGCAAGAAGTGAAAAAAAACCCTTTTCTTTTCTCCCCCTATCGCCTATTTATACAGGGCTACGCAAAAGTTACTATGCAGACCTAACTTTAAAAAATTGTACTTTTTTTTGCTAATAAAGCTATCGACATTAAACAAACTGTCAATTGTTAAGAAAATATTTCTCTTTTAAACCATATAGGACACCTTTAGTTATTGATGCCCTAAATGGTCTTTGGGAATTTTTTAAAAAATGCAATTTTTAGGCAAAATTGTCTAATTTTATAAATTTATATATTCTTAGAACAACTTGTTACCAAAGATCTTACTCTATATAAAAGCAATGAAAACATTTTTAAATAGAATTGGCTAAGAGTTCAAAAAACTATAATAAAAACTCATGTTTTCGAAAAATCACTATTTTCAGCCATTTCATGGTTTAAAAAGGATATGTTTGAGTGAGTCGATTTAAACCAATTTATGCTTATCATCACATGCACTTATAAGCCTCCAATATCCATTAATAAAATTATTGTGTATTTTGCTTTTAACTGGGCTGTGGCTGTATGTACACTGTACATTGTACAGCCCAGCTATAAGCAAAATACACAATATGCCCACCTGACTTTCAGCCATTTCATGGTTTAAAAAGGCTATGGTTGAGTAAGTCGATTTAAACCAATTTATATAATAATATATAAGCATATGCTTATCAGGCACTTATTAGTCTCCAATATTCATGAATAAAATTATTGTGTATTTTTCTTTTAGCTGGGCTGTGGATGTATATGTCCACTAAATCCATATATTAACCATATATTTCGAAAAAGCGTATTACATCTTTAAAATAACTCGGCAGCCTCGAATTGACTTCTAATTCATTCTGAATAAAAATATAAAATATAAAAACCACATACAGTGGCGTCGAAACTTCCCATTTATTTATTTTTTAAATTAAAAAAACATAATCAAATGTACAAAAAAATGAATTAAATGACTAAAATACAAACTTTTCATAAACTTTATATTTAGGCAAAATAAAACAGGTATTAAATCCTAAATTTGAATTAAACCTAACTGCATATAATTAAACTGAACAAATCATATTCTTAACTTTTACAATCACCTAAAAAACCTATTTACTATTTTTTACCTCTAAAAAGTTATATGAATCGGAAAATTTTCTTATGTGTATAATGTCTATCAAGAGGAATAAATTAACGACAAAAATTTTGGTAAAATAATATCAATACTTTAATTTGTGATACCTACGTACAAATATCGGTTACAGTTGCATTTACTCGCCATTCTATTAAATCCTTTTCCTCCTTAGTACAACTTTCAATCAAATCGCTAAAAAATATTTTTATCCGAAATCGGCAGTAAAGTAGTCAACAATCGGCAGTAAGAACTTTATTTTTTTAATAAAATAAATAAGTTAATTTTATTAATTAGATTAAAAAATCGCCGCGGCGGGCAAATATATAATAACCGTCGTAAAAAACAGTATACGTAGATACCATACATTCAAATGAAATTTGATTTGATCATCAAATGACATTTGATTAAATTATCAATATTAATTATTAGTATTATTAAATGAGATTTCAGATAATATTTAATATGCACTCTGCATTAAAGTCATTTTTTATCACTCACGTAGTTATTTGCCTCGGCTTTCTCCTCGGCAAATTACGACTTTACTGCCTTGATACATAAATAACTATTTATGGCATTTTTCATTAATTAAATTTCCAACGGAACAATCCATTTTTGGACACTTCAAACAATTTGACACTTTAAATGACAGAAATTGGTGTGTAAACTGTTTTTAGAAAATTATGCACACTTTAATAAATTATTATTTTAGTTTTTGTTTATTTACAAAAGGTAAAAAATTAGTATGTTTAGAGGTTAGTTTTTATGAATATGTAAAAATTTCAATATCTTAAAAATATTTTAATTATTAAAACAATATCTTAAAAATTGTCTCTTGCGAATTAGAACTCAATTCAAGTCTTGCTACCGAGTTTTTTTATAAAATATATGTTTAATATAATATACAAGGGCGTCGCCAGAGAGGGGCAGGGGGGGCAGCTGCCCCCCTAGAGGTTAACGCTCACAAGTCACCCTGCTAATTGAAACGATAAACTGAGTGTTGTGGAAATCCTTAAGGAAACTGAAGATTTTTTTCCTGAAATTAAGAAGGCTTTAAAGATCCTTGTTGCTTTACCTTGTACGACTGGTACAGTTGAAAGGTCATTCAGTAGCCTCAGGAGAATCAAAACCTGGTTGAGGAGCACCATGAAGTGTACACAGGCAACACATTTTCAAAAACTTGGACGATTTCGTCAACAAAGTGTGTAGTTATTTTGTTCGTTTTTAATTTTTTTTTTATGAAAACTTTTTTTTAAAATTTTTCTCTTGTTCTTATATGCTGCCCCCCCCCCTAACTTACCGGCTGGCGACGCCCTTGATAATATATATGGATAATATTATGGATTTATATTAATATAATCCACATTATAATAATAAAATTAATAATATTATAATCCATATTATGGTTTTAGTCAGGTGGGCATATTGTGTATTTTGGTTATAGCTGGGCTGTAGATGATACAGCCACAGCCCCGTTAAAAGCAAAATACACAATAATTTTATTCATGGTTATTGGAGGCTAATAACTGCATGTGATGATAAGCATAAATGGTTTAAATCGACTCACTCAAACATAGCTTTTTTAAACCATCAAAAGGCTGAAAATAGTAAGGTCTTTGGTAACAAACTCCATTAAAAAAATGTTGCTGGCAAGTTTTTCTAAGAATATATGAATTTATAAAACAAGACAATTTTGCCAAAAAATTGCATTTTTTAAAAATTCTCAAAGACCATTTAGAGCATCAATAACTAAATGTGTCCTATATGGTTTAAAAGAGAAATATTTTTTTAACAATTAACAGTTTGTATATTGTCGATAGCTTTATTAGCAAAAGAAGTACAATTTTTTAAAGTTAGGTCTGCACAGTAACTTTTGCATAGCCCTGTATAAATAGGTGAAGGGGGAGAAAAGAAAAGGTGAGTTTTTTTACTTCTTGGGTCCTTGTCTATTTACAGTTAAAAAAGGAATAAAGTTAGATATAAGGTGCACCATTGGTGGCTACTAATTGAAATTACCCATTTGCAAAAATCTTCCATCTTTAAAACAATTTTTTGTTAAAAAAAACGATAAATTGTACTTTGTTCCTTCCATAATACCACGCGCAGTGCACCAATTGGTCCCAAAAGCCTTTGTGAATGTATTGTTAATTTTTTGAATTAAAATGACTATAGTCAAATTGGAAAATTTAGTCCAGGTATGATGTGACGGAAGAGTCGTCAATACAGGTCTAGATAATAACAAAACTGGAGTAAAAATTGGGTCGGTTTATCTGCCAACTTCATATAAACCATACATCTCTTTAAACATCTTAACGGCAAAAAAACAGGCCCTGCCGCCTTTTTAGGAGTGTTAGGCAAGCAAATAGAGCAGTTCGAGAAACTGGCTCTTGCAGATTATAAAATATTAATCTGCGAATGTCGACTTTAATGACCTAAGTTCGGATTAAGAATATATGTATCAAATTTGTCTTGCCACATCTTTTGGTTAATGTCCAGACAATTTAGTAATCTATGAAAGTTAAACCATTCCCGATGACTGACTTGACTAAACCACAATGGAGCATAAAATTGGCTAGGTCTTTTTGTCATGAAGATGTTTAAAGGGATGTATAGTGGTAGTTTGTTACCATATGGTTCATATGAAGTTGGCAGATAAACCATTGTAAAGAGCGACCCAATTTTTACTTCAAGTTTGTTATAACATTTTTCATACTTGCATTAACGACTGTGTTGTCACATCTTACCCCGACTAAATCTTCCAAATTTTAGTCATTTTAATCCAAAAAATTAACAATGCATTCGCAAAGGCTTTTGGCAACAATTGGTGCACTGCGCGTGGTATTATGGAAGGAACAAAGCCGTACCTAGTACAATTTATTGTTTTTTTAGCAAAAAAATTGTAGTTTTATGAAAGATAAACGTTTTAAAGATACTTTATAAAAAATACCATTAAAATACATAAAAAAATAGTTTTTATTTACAATTCTTTAAAAATCTGATTTTTTTTATACTTAGTTGCTCGGTGGGGGGCAAAAGGGTTATCACCATATAAAAATTGTAAATAAAAATTATCAATCTCATAATATTGGGCGGTATTCCAAATTTTTTTTTCAAATATTTGAGTCCTGGTAGGGGGCAAAAGACGTCATACAAACAAAAAATGTAAATAAAAATTATTTTTGTTTGACGTTCTGTGAACCCCCGAACATTTTCCTTTTTACTTTCTCCTTCACCTCAAAATTTTTTCCGTGCACCATACTTACTGGTGTAGGTGCTGATTGGTCATCATAGGGCCTGATTGGTCTTATAAGAGATTGTGGTGCACATCTTACAACGATTGCTAATAAGGATGCAACGATTATCAATTTCGAAAGCATTTTCTGAAATAATAAAAGTTTGTATTTATTTTAGTATGTATTAATATTAATTATAATATGTATTATATGACGTGAAATTTAGTACTACTTGGTAAAGATTTAATAACTTATTTTCATAAAAAATTGTTAAATAAACCAACGTTTTTTGAGCTCATTAATTTTGATATGCTTTGTTTATTTTACATTTATATGCAATTATTCTCAATGACACTTTTTTATTTAAATTATTCAAAATTTGATTAATTTTTTTTAATGAGGGTTTAATAATTGGATAGCGCTTATCTAAAAGGAACCAACCGCCAACTTTTAAAATTGAGTAAACTGGGTTTAAAGTTTTTAAAGTATATAAAATTCATTTGTAATTGCATAAGTCCAGTTTTGGCGTTTTATTACGGTAAAATGATTAACTTAAATAAACCTAATGAATTTTTCAAAATTTAGTGTTGCTATTTGGTAATACAGGTAAAAATGGCGCTTAGTTCCTTTTTGATAAAAAGGAAATTTTAGACATGGATCTCTTTAAACACTTTTTAGACAAAATAATAAAATAACATAGATCGTTTGACTTATTTTGTACATAAACGTTTGATTTATGTTAACTAATTAGACTTGGGCATAAAATAAAAATAAGACAAAAGCTGTAATATTTTTATAATAACTTCAGAAAGTTTCGTGATAAACAAAAAATACAAGCCATTGTTTTCAACTAAAAATAAACAAACATTGTTCGACTAATTATTAGAAAATAAAAGTAAAACTTTTTAATAAGTAATTCCTAAATTAACGGCAAAAAATCAATATTTTCACCAAAACCATCTACATCGTCCTCAAAATCAGCTGCATTTAAGTTTCTATAAAAGTCTATAACATCGTTAGGAACTAGTGCCATCAAACTTTTGCTGTGGCCGCTATATAAGCAGTTTGGGCATTGTAGTTCCCTAAACCCCAAAACTGTTCAAACACATTTTTTCTGACTTCTTGTGTTACCTTCTTGTTACATTTTAATGTGCAATTGCACAAAAGTCTATAAATTCCTTAGGTTCTACCTTTTTTCCTTTAATGCTATAGTGTTTCTTGTTTGAGTCTCTTAATTGCTTTCTGTTTTTAAAAGTCTATCCGGGATAGCTTGTTTTTCTTCCCTTTTTAGGCCTCCCCTTTCTATTTGACCTTTCTTGGAGTAATGCTAAGTTTCTTTGTATATGCTCTAAATTTTCCTCCTCGATTTTCTCCAGAGTGGAATCTACACCAGAACTACCTGAACTTTTAGAAATCGGGTCGTATTCACTTCCAGAGTCCTCGAAGTCGGAAAAATGTGCAAAGTCTTGTTTATTTATCTGAAAATAAATATGTAGGCAGGTCCAATAAACATTTTAATAAATAACTAACATTTTTTTTAGGCAAAGTGTCAATTGGGCCAATTTCCATTAAATTGGTTTCAAAGTTGCCATTATCATTTATTGCTATATTTATTTTGTTTAGCTCTTTATCTGCATCTTTAGCCTTATTTTTGGCACTGCAACAAGCATCTGGACTCGTAGCACTTCTTTTACTCATATTTCTATCAAAAATTCGTTTCGAAACAAGCCATAAACAAAAAATAATAACACAAATATTTTAATGTCAAAAGGGAACCAAGCGTCACGATATTTGTCAAAATAGCCTTGTGCGCCTTGGATCCGTTCAGAGAAATATAAAAACAGCAGTTTTAAACCAGCAACTTGGTAACCTCAGGAAAAAATGTTGTTACAATTAGCTTTGGCGTTTAAATATTTTTGAACAATCTAATATAAAGTATTTATAGGCGTTTGGTGCCTGTAACTCGAAAATTGTGATTTGGCGGTTGGTTCCTTTTAGATAAGCGCTATCCAATTAACTATAAAAAATTATAATAAGTAAAATAATTTATTATTTTCTTTACAATAAGAATTTTATTTTATATATTTATCACCGAAATATAAATTTTGGCGAATGCGCCGGAAAAATAAAGAAATCATTTAAAAAATTTAAATTGCAAAACTAATATTTTTAATTTATTAAAAAATGGGTAAATTTAATTAATAAACTTTGAAACCTCAATACCAAAAACTTATAAAACGTACTTACGTTTCTCTAATATAATCCTAAAACGTTCGATTATAATCACGATCACACAGAATGGGATTCTGGAGAGGACGTTTCGTTAACTAGCTATTAATTTGGTACGTGAAGACGTTTTATAAGGATGACCGCAAGTGTGGCCCACGACAAGGCCACCATGCCTCCCTCACAACATTCTTTTGTTCTTTCCTTCTTAATCCCATATTTCGATATTACCATACAAATTAACAAGCCATTGTTGCAATCAGTGAATCCGTTAGTCAGAGTTGGATTTAATTGCAAATAAAAATGTTTTTTGAAAAATGAAATAATAAATATATGTATGGGGTGTTAACATTTTATACCAAATTTACTGTAAATGAAATAAAGGCGAAATGTTTGTCAGGGAATTTAAGCCTAACTTTATGTGTAGGTTGTCGAAAAATTTACCAGAAAGTCTTTAAATATTTAAAAAAGAGAAATGACTCCTAAGAGAGCTTTAAGATCCGTCTACGTCGGGTAATCCCCGAAAATGTTTTTTTTTTAATATTTCCGAAGACCGGGGCGATAAAAATTAATAAATTTGGTAACATTTAGCGGTTTTGGACACTGGCGTGGCGACAAATTTTGCCCCCCCCCATGAGAAAATCTTTACTGGGCCCCCTGATTTCACATATTTTTTACATGTTTTTATATTGTATATATTGAATATCAGGTGACATGATATTTTAATTATTTTTATGTATTAAAAATTTTTTTTAATTTAAATTTCAAATTCAACAGTCAAAAGTGCAGTTTCCTGTAACTATGATGTATGATGATTTGGACCGACTTGTCGGCCATTTATTTGATTCTGTCTCGCTGTCCTGTGACGGAAAGGGGTAAACATGTTTTAGCGCCTTTTTATGTTACAAGGAATTTTACAGTGTTGCCATAATTTTTTAATAATTTCAAGTTTTTGTCTTGCAGAAAATATGATGGAAATAAGTATTTTAATGTTTTGAGGCAAGCATCGGCCGGGGCCCCCTACGAGGTTGGGGTCCCCCGCGGTGGCGGGCGTTTACGGTACTGTCGCTACGCCACTGGTTTTGGACCTAAAAACTTTTTTCCTAAAATTATCCAAGCATTGAGCCCATCATCACTCTGTATAATATAAGGGGACTTGAAGGGGCTTTTGCTCACTTAAGAATCATCGCACTGTTTAAATAACATTTTTTAAAACCATTTTAAGAAGTTATACTATGGTATAACCAGATCATCTGGTAAACTTTGTAACAAGTTGTTAACAACCTTTCGTTAACACCCTGTATGTTGAAAAATACAACATTTACTGAAAGTATTAAAAACAATTATATGCACCACATTCATAAGTCAATTATATTTCTTATTTATAGAATTTCATAATTACATAAATATATTTGAGATGCTTATCTAATGTAATTATTAAATAAACTTGTATCTTTAAACTGTCAACGTTTAATTGCTTCCTTATAAAGTATTTTTTACGTTTATTTTGTATAGACGAATTTTCATGGAAAATAATAAATAAATACCTTTTCTATGGTCATTTTGCTCGATATGCAAACTAGTACCTACTTAGTATTTATTTATTATTGATATGTAGATTTATGAGAAATAGTATACAAACAATTAATGCAAAACTAATCGTCGTGCAATTACAATGGGCCACCGAAGACATACACGTCATACGCGTCCCACGTAGCTCCAGTGGCACCACGTGGGAACAAAAACCACGACATGGGCAAAATTTTTTCAAACTGTCGTTTCGCTTTGCTAAATACATGCGATTTTAAAATATCTATTGCGTTAGGAGATGTGTGCATTAATATTAATGGTTTGTCGTTGTCTCATTGCAATAAAAGACATGACTCATTGGTCGAAACCTTAGATTTTTTTGATACTGTATTTGTCCCTCCTGTCCCATTTACCACATTGTTTTAGATAAAACTCTTTTACAATCAAGCATTTTGTTCATTCCTTAATTAAAAGTAAACACCGTCATTTTAAAATCCTAATAATCATTATAAAAATAATCCTAATTTACATGGCAATATTATTGTTAAACACACCATTGCCCAACCGAATTTTATTCCATTGATTGTTTTCTTGGCGGTTTCTTAATTCTGTAAAAATGGAAATTAATACTCAAAGATTTTTATCGCCTATTGTGAATCCCAATACATGGCCATAGGGAATTCTTTAAATCGCTAGGATACTTGGGATGCATTGTTGATATTATAATATGTAAAATATTTGGTCGACTGGAATCAACTTCATTGTGACACTGCTGTCAATGTTTGTTCCTGTCATTATTTATCATTTTAACTTAAAATTTTAGTTATGTTTTCCACAATTCACACAGCAAGGTCTGTTCGATCTCGTACTAAAAATACTAAAAATCACTGCAACACTGCTCATCATTCAGTGGCGGTCATTTTTGCTGTTTACAATTCTTCTGCTTTGGTTTGTAGGTCTGTGGTTTGTACAGATTAATAATCGGTTTAAACGTAGTCTTTCAATATTATCAATATATACATTTTAATATGGTGACCATATAATACACGCATATTCAAGTTTGCTGCGTACATAAGCATTAAAAAGATAATAATGAATTTTATTTAGCATCAGTGCTATATAAAAATAACAATTTACATATTTACATAAAAAATACAACGAAAAAAATAGAAAAGTTTAAAAAGTTTACAATTAGATTTTTAACAAAACATGTGTATACAGAATTAGATTTATCATAATAAATATAGGTAATATAAAGATGACAAAAACGCAACATTTAGTTTAAAACAAATCTTCTCAAAAGTTTTTTGAACTGATTTATATTATCACAGTTTTGAATATTCACAGGTAGTTTATTAAACTCAAGTAAACCTTTGTATAATACGGAG